CGAAGGTAGAAAGTAATCTAGAGAAATAGTCTACACTTAAGTATTATTTGACCTTCAGAGCTACTACTAGAGCTTGCCAGATTTGTACAGCTGTAATTGATTAGATTCTAGAAGCCTCCAAATAGATAAAACTTCATTGCATTGAATCTTTTTCAGTCAATCAGTGGGAAACCAGTTTGCCGTTCATCGAAACTGAAGCCCAAAATGCTTGTTAGACCAAATGTCACATTATTTACATTTCATAAGAACTATAAACCAAAAAACATACCATCTATTTTAGTGTCAGGTTAGAAAAAGATAGAAAATTTTAGATCATGGGCTTTGGATCTAGTACGTCTCCTTGAGAGCTCGTGAAGTTCTTGAGCATCCACCCTGACAGACTCATGTGGAGGTATGTGATGTAATTTGGCATCAAGTAGGGCACAGTTGGCTGTAAGATGCTGGGACTGGTTGAACTGCCCTAGCTTTCCACCTATTGCTCTGTTTTGGAAGTGTCAGCCAGATTTTTAGCTATCACTTGGAGCAAAACAACATATCCTATTAATAAAAGAGAGATTCCGGCTTGTGGAAAATTTATGAAGTACTTGAAGTGCTTGCTGCTCGCCATCTGTATTTTTCTAATAAAAGTGCTCACTGCTCGCCATCTGTATTTTCTAAAGTGCCTGCTGCTGGCAAAAAAAAATATGACAACTGCTCGCATCCTCGCAAATGCTCACAAAGACCATTCGATACCCCTGTAATTGGTACAATGCTCTGATCTGATTAGTGCAAGCAAAATACCTCTTGATAATAATTATGCTAACAATTATTTTAATATCAAAAAAGTGATAACTTGACAATGCTTTGTGTTGTATCTCACTAGGAATTAAAGGAGTGGGAGGATTCAGAAAAAATTCCCTTTATTCCTTAGTGCTTTTTTTTTAATTGTAACAATGAAAGTTAGATATCATCATTGCTCCCCCTCTATGTAAAGCATGAATCCTGCCCTATTGACTTGCTTTTCTCATTTGTCAACAGTTTATTTTAACCCCAGGTCCAACTGATGAAATACCTGTAAAAGTTTCACCACTTGTGGCAGCTATAAGGAGTACTCGATATGTTCATGTCAAAGAGATATATATCTGGGATGTACCTATGAAACACGAGGATATTGCTACACTGGTTTGTTCAATGTTCTGGTTTCAATAGAGGTTCCAAACACCTCTAAACAATAAAAGCACTCAGCCTGCTCCCTCATGCTTCCATCTGTTTTTTGGTCTTTGGAACCCCTGATGAAACACTTGCACTGGTTTTGATATATTACTCCACATTTGAGATCCTTGCAATCTGATTGGCTCTCAATAATTTTGGTTCTAAATTGCATCATATTACCAGCCAATGAGGAAGCTTTTCTAAAACATGACAACCAATCAGATTTGAAGGTTTGTTTGAAGTAACGAATCAAATTGCAAGAAAATGAAATACAACTTGAGGACTGACACACCACACAATTAAAGAAGGAGGTAGCACACATTAGTGATGATAATTGTTTTTATTCTTAAATCTCATAACTAAGGATAAAAACCAGCGACAATAGAGAATGATGTTTCGACAGCTCCATGCCATCATTCTCAAATTCAAATAAATACATTTCGTGAGTTCATTATATAGAAAAAGTACGTGTGAAGGTACATAATATCGCTGGTTTTTATCCTTAATTGCTTATCAAAAACTTTAGTTATTAGGAATCTCATAATTTATCGAGATAATATCAAAATATCACCATGAGATGGTATAACAAAAATATGTCAAAGATCATATGATACTATAAAAATATCATGATGATAATATCAAAATCTCAAAATCTCCCAGTTGATTTGATATTTTGATCCATCATAGCTTTATACTTTTAAAAACAAAATGTCACGATGATAATATCAAAATATCACCATGATGTGGAATATCAAAGATAAATCAAAGGTCATTAAATACAAAATATCATTACAGCATCAACATCTCACAGTTGGTTTGATATTTCAATATTGTTCAATCCTGCATCTTAGTATATCCAAGTTTGCTCTCTCTGAAGCTCCTCTAATTTAAGGCTTTAAATGGATGTATTGTTATGTCTGTGTGTCTTATTTCACATGACCTCTCTCTTTATTCACAAATTCATTTATGAAAATTTTCAGACAGTTTCTTAAATTCTTTTATCCCCAAGGGTTGGAATCTATTCAAACCCACAGATATCATAAAAAGCTAGGTCCTAATGGTTAGGAAAAGTTCATTGAAGCAGAGAAGATGAAATGAGTTTTAACTCTCTTCTTTCCTAAATTTCCTGTTTTCTTTGTGACTGCATGCTTGCATGTTACCGGAAATATCGACATCTTTCTTAATTCAACCTCAACCAAGCAAAGTGTTGCCACTGTTGTTACACTTTTTACTCACCCAACCATTTCAACATTGCTTATCCTAGAAGTGCATGCGGGATGCATGTCACACATAATTATACCTGTAGGCAGTAATTTAAGCTCACTGTAATGTTCTCTGAAGTTCAGTGGTAGATCATGGATGCAATGAATCCAAAGGTCTGTTCAAGCACAATTCCCAATGATAAGTCAAGTTTTTCCTTTGTCTCACGCTTGTGACAGAATACAGATAACATCCTTCTCTTTTGAAGTTTACTTAGTTTATCTTTGGTCCATAAGAACTGAAGGTGATTTGGATCCGTAATTACTAAAAGAAGGAATGACCTAAAACCACCTACAACCATCTAAAACCACCCCCAACCACCACCTACAACCATCTAAAACCACCTAAAACCACCTACAACCACTTACAACCACCTTCAGAATACTATTGTGTGACAATTTGTGACAATTTAAATGCACACCGGAAATGTTGTCGGATGTGTCGCATGTCATGACCAACCAAAAACACCGAGAGAATTTTTTACACGTAGTTACTAAAACAAGGAATGACCAACAATGACCTACAATGAGCTACCGTGGGAACAAGGAATGACCTAAAATGATCTACAATGATTTACAATGACCTACAATGACCTACAATGACCTACAGGGAGCTATTATGAGTGTTACGAAAAATTGTGGCCTGACTTGCGTGACTTTCTAGCCCCATGATGGTGTGATGTCTTTTTTTTTTGATGTCTAAAAATATCAATGAGTTAAAGGTGTTGGCAGGCCAAATACGTCTCATAGTCTCGCAGCGCTGTGATATGTGACCTTATTAATGGTTTTGATATGAAAATACCAATGAGTAAAAGGTGTTGACAGGCCAAATACAACTGATAGCCTCATGATATTATGGGAGGCTTGTTATATAATACCCTCAAAGACATCTTAAGCCAAAGGTTTTTTGCATTTTTTTTATCATTATCGTCATTAGACATGTCTTATTATAATACACTGTAAATTTATCTCCAAGCTAGAAATTCTGTTATCAGACACGTTACGTTAAATTAATGCACGTGTACATGTCTCCTTTTTTTTTTTTTGCCTTTTTTCTAAAATCTTCGTTTACTTCATTGCAGGGATCTTACAGTAGCTCACTGTAGGTCATTCCTTGTTTTAGTAACTACATGTAAAAAATTCTCTTGTTTTCCCACAGGGAGCCCAGACAAGCGACGAGTCTGGTTGTTTATTCAAAATATAAATGAATGTGTGGGAGAATATTGAAGAGTCTTATTATTGGAAACTTAAATCATGAAATGTCTGAGTTGAAGCTCAAAATAAATGTAAACCTACCTCACTTGCCGTGTATTGTTGTTTCTGCGTGGCTCTAAATGGCGAATTTGAGCGATTTGGTGGGTTTTGTGTTGTTTTGTTACTATAAGACCCAAAACCCGCCAAATCGCTCAAATTCGCTATTTAGAGCCACAGAAACGATAATACACTGCAAGTGAGGTAGGTTTACATTTATTTTGAGCTTTAACTCAGACATTTCATGATATAACTTTACGATAATAAGACTCTTCAATATTCTCCCATACATTCCTTTATATTTTGAATAAACAACCAGACCAACGTCACTTGTCTGGGCTCCCTGTGGTTTTGCCTGGTCATGAAATGCGAGACATGCGACAACATTTCGGGTGTGCATTTACATTGTCACAAATTGTCACACAATAGTCTTCTGAAGGTGGTTGTAGGTGGTTTTAGATGGTGGTAGGTGGTAGGTGGTAGGTTTTAGATGGTTGTAGGTGGTTTTAGGTCATTCCTTCTTTTAGTAATTGTGGATTTGGATCAGCTATACATGTTTTTGAGTAAGCATATAGAGTTAAAGATTCAAAATTCTTCCAAGTCAAGGGTATTTATTATCTCAAATGTGAATGTAACACTGCAATTGCTTCTACTTCATATTCAGGCATTGCTTTTGGAGCAATCTATATATCCCATTCAATACCTGGAACTTTTGGAGTGTAGTATCAACAGCTATGGAGTAGACAGGCTAGAAAGGTAATTAATTTGAATATTCACCCATAGATATCATGATGAATGACCTACATGTTAGCATGTGTAATTGTGAAACAAAACAAAATGAAAATCTGTAATAGGCCGTTTTACAGTTTTGCACTTAGTTGCCAAGCCTTTTATTTGGAGTGAGGCTGAAGGTGACCTTCTTGGGCTAGAGACCAGTATCTATTTAGCATGATAATAAAGAAATCTACATTTGAAAAGCTGAGCAACCTCTGTATCATAACAAGGTCACCCTTAGCATCACTTCTGTTCAAAGGCTTGGCAACCAAGCACCCAACTGTAAAATGGACTATTTACATGAAATCTGTTAATGTTCTGTGAAATGGAAATCTGTAATTTATGAAATAGAAATCAGTTAATGATTTGCATTGAATTCTGTCATTTGCAAAACAGAAATTGGTACTTTGTGAAGCAGAAATCTGTAATTTGCAAATCGAGAATGTAATTTGAAATGTAATTTGGAGCTGAGTTTCCTGGAAAAACCGGATCAAGGATCAACGGATCAAGGATCTAGGATCTAGGATCTAGGATCTAGGATCCAGGATTAGTTCAAAATAAATCAAATAAATTAATAGGCATGATTGATTGCTCATCTACGTGACTAAGTCAAGATCTCCCCTATGCTAAAGTGAAAATTATAAGACAAAATATACTAAATACTGAAAAAGCCATATAACTTTGTCGAAGTGTCAATTTTTGCCTACCAACTGTTAGGACTGCTATTGAAGACTGACAGCTACAGAGCAGGTTTACTTGTGCATATGCTATATTCACATTAAATCTATCCTGAGTGTCAGTAGGTGATTGCATCTCTGACTTCTGGTGCAATTTCAAAACACGAAGCCACTTTTGGCAACTGCCAGAGTGAACAGCAAATTTTCAGCTGCTTTAACTTCATCTCTTCAAATTTCTTTTCACCACATCAGCATATGAATTAGGATTTTCACTGTCACTGGTGGGAGATGACAACAAATCCATTTTCACAGTAGTTTCAGCAAACACAGTGCACGAGTTAGAAAGATAATAGCCACAGGAGTTATTTCAAACCTCAGTGCTGCAAACAAAGACATATCACAGACTTTCACTCAGACGTGCGAATGACTCGCAGCCAGTTGTCTGTTGTCTGTAAACTCGTCAATGTGACTTTTTTGTAACCACTTTTTCGCGAGCAGATGAAATATGCAGCTCAACGTCAAAGAGAACACCTGGGAACTATTTGTTAGATCCACTAATGCTTGGGGGAAAATGCAAAGAATAGGAAAATAATGGCGATTTTGTTGTCTATTGGCCATGTCTACAAATGTTTCAGTGAAGAAGAAAGGTTTGTGTGAATGATAAAAAAAGGGTTCTCTTTGTTAAAGCTATCAAGAAACAGAATTGGCAAATGTCAAGGTCCTTTATTTTGTCAGAAGTGATCAGAAGTGTGGGACTAAATTTTCTGCCTGCTGACAGTGCTTACTAGTGACAGAAGAAAGAAAAAAACATTTATTCCTTGTTAGTCGTCAGATACTAATTCTTAAAAAAAAAAAAATCATGTAAGACCAAGAACTGCTTCAATTTCCCAGTGTGTGTTCATGAGATTTTGGACCTGTGTTCATGAGATTTTGGACCTGTTTCCTCCATGTATACTCCAGGCACAGGAAGCCCAAGCTCACTACTAGAAAAGGGGATGAGACTCTTACAGTGTTGCACAACATTTTATATTTATAAACTTAAGGTTTGTATGGAATGTTACTGGTTTGCCTTAACTGAGAGCAAAAATGTCTTAATTGTTTTGAAATGAAATGGACTTACTTTATTGCCTTGTTGTTTTCTTTGTTGATTACCAGCGTCTCAGGCCATTTTGAAGCGTTTTCAGTGAGTTAGCGCTATTTTGGTTTTCAACTGCTAAAAGCGCTTAAAATCGCCGAAAACACTTCAAAATGGCCTGAGACGCTGGTAATCAACAAAGAAAACAACAAGGCAATAAAGTAAGTCCATTTTATTTCAAAACAAGACATTTTTTCTCTTATTTAAGGCAAACCAATAACATCCCATACAAACCTTTATAAATATAAAACGTTGTGCAACACTGTAAGAGTCATGTCTGCTTTTCTAGTAGTGAGCTTGGGCTGCCTGTGCTCCAGGGGACTCACAACATCAACTCAGTGCAGTGGGGTGATACAATTTTATCACTTTCCGAATCATGCATGAAATCTCATTGCCAAAATGACTAAAACGTCTTCTGAGCAAGTGATTCTTCAGATGCATTCCATCTGCTTTTCCTTTAAGGATACGAGGTCAGTAAAAAATTTGAAGAGATGGAGTTAAAGCAGCTGAAAATTTGAGGTTCACTCCAGCAGTCGCCAAAAGCAGCTTTGTGTTTTGAAATTGCACCGGAAGTCAGAGAGGCAATCACCTACTGACACTCAGGATAATTTAAAAATTTCATGTGAATATAGCATATGCACAAGTAACCCCGCTCTGTAGCTGTCAGTCTTCAATAGCAGTCCTAAGAGTCAGTAGGCAAAAATTGACACTTCCACATAGTGGTATGGCTTTTTTAGCTTTTAGTATTTTCTCTTATTTTCACTTTAGCATAGGGAGATCTTGACTGAGTCACATAGATGAGCAATCAATCATGCCTATTAATTTATTTAATTTATTTGATCTATTTTGAACTGATCCATGATCTTTGATCCGGTGATCCGGTGATCCTTAATCTGTTTTTCCAAGAAACCATTGGAGCTGTGGTTGTGGCATTATATAAGGTATAAGCATTATGACCTACATTATTGTTGATGAATAATTTCAATGGGTGACATGACACTTTCCTGATGCAAAATACACCCGGAAAATGCTGCTCCATGTTTCTAGGCAAAATGTCAAGTTTGCTGGAAAGATAGAACTGATGCAAGTCCTTTAATTTCAAGTTTTAGACAACTCTTTTTTTACAGATTTCTATTTTGCAAACTGCATGTAGTTTTTCATTTTGTTTGTTTCCTAATTTTATTTCACAAATTGCATTAAGCTGCTACTCCAGGGTGGAGAATCAATAAAAAATTTATCATAAGTACAGATAAGTACCAATGAAGGATTTATTTGTGAAAGTTCAATATATAATTATTGATTTTTAACTATCATTTTACCTTTATGTTAATCAAATGAATTAATGTAGCATACAGCCATAATTTATATTATTTATATGTTTCATGAGGAAAGATTTCTTAACTTTATTGCCCATTTACAGTCTGTCTCTTTTATTAGCTCACAGAAAGGGCTCAGGTAACATTATATAACTTAGGATTTCTGGTGACATACTGGTATCATAAAATTGTGGGCAACAAATCTTTAGTTATGGCAGGTGACACAAGTCTGGGCAAGATGACTTTCGGCCTACTTATTATTATTATTTTTTATTATTATAATAACCATACAAGGAACATCCACTACTTAAAACAAAAATAGGATACTTACATTACCTACATCAAGGATACTTACTTAAGATCCAATTACTTACAATAGAACTTATGCTACTTACATTATTCTACTTGCAGTTCTTACGAAGTGATACTGCAACTTTCGACCAACTTAAACGTTATTCATTATTCCACCATTATGCATTTTTACCATTTTTTTAATTACTTTTTTAGGCTTGAGTGTTAAAATAAAGGAGTGCATCAATTATTTTTTTTAGTTATAAAAAACAATTCAATTAATTTGCATGTTTTCTTATTTCATGCAGGCCCTATTCCACCCATTCGATGCTTAGTTAGAGCTATAGCATGTACTTTGAAAACTTGGGGCCAAAATACGAGAAATGAAGTATTTGTGGAATAAATAATTCCTTTAAGGAAATATTGCTTAAAGTTCATACACTTGCAAGACCTGTAGGGGCAATGTAAAAAACTATACAACTCCCAAAATGTCATCCATTAGGTGTTAAACCATTGAGTAAGGTGTATGCATGCAGTGTTGGTGTCTCGTAAGAACAGCTACCTTACATTCGAGATTTTTATCTGTTTGGCAGATAAACACAGTAAACATGTAAAGAGTACTTAAAATTACTTTAATTTTTTTTTGTTTGTAGGTCCATATGTATGAGCAATCTGACCGCTCTGGTGCTTGATTATAACAAGTAAGAATCTTAAAACTAAGATATTACTTAAAATAACTATAAGGACGTCACAGTTACTGGGTGTGAATGGAAGAAATTAGCCCCAAACATCTGACATGAAATCACCTCCCTGCCATTAACGTTGGAAAAGGAAAAAATTTATTTTTTGTTAGTTTTAATCAATAGTTTATTGTACAGTCACTAAAACTTAATGTAGCTAAATCTGTTTTCCATTGGTAAGAATGCTTTCATGACAATTTTTGCACTTTTAGGGTTACCATTATTCAATAGTAAAATGGCTTCTACAAATTATTGCAGTTGTTAAGTGTGAAGTGTTATTGTATAGAATCTGTTTTGTCATTGTCTAGTGTGCACGCCTATATTGCAACCTATTTAGGTTGAAAAAAATTTTTAAGTGGCCATATGATAAAATATTATTGACTGAGTTAAGTCAGGTGGGGCCAGACAGGAATGTATTTTGCTTTCAGTAATCAAGCATTGACTTCCCTCCTTGCATGAGTGTGTACGGTAGTTCATGACTGTGTGGCTCTACCACTCAGTCAATACATAAATATTCTACAGTTTCCCCTTTTGATCATCCTCTAGAACAAGAATAGATAGGCAACAATTCACCTATGGCTTTAGAAAGTTGTGTCACTTTTGTTGCATTCTTGTGAAGCAAAATCTTTGATAAACTAAAGGAAATATTTCCCTCACAATTTGAGTGTCTGATTAGCTTATTACACCATGTATTGCTATCAAATAGGGTAGATTTTTTCCTTATTATCTTATTACACCATGTATTGCTGCCACATCCATTACACCATATAATTATATTGCACCCATACATTTTTTCCTTGTTTCCTTATTACACAATGTATTGCTGCCACATAATCTTTTTTCTCCATATTATGTTATCTTATAACACCATGTATTTCTGCCACATGCTTCTTTTTTCTCCTTTTCTCCTTTAGTTATTACATCATGTATTAATGCTTTTATAACCTTATTACCTTATTACCGGTACATCGTGTTTTGCTGCCTGCACATACATTTTTGCCATGCTTAACCTTGTTACACAATGTATTGCTACCACACACATTTCTTTTCCTCATCACCTCATTACACCATGTATTATTGCTGCCATATTCATTTTTATCCTCATTATCTTGACTTATCATATTACACCATGGTATTGCTGCCACATATGTATCTTTTTCATATCACCTTATTGCACCATGTATTGCTACCAAGTCCAATACCAAATTGTTTTCACAACTGATACCCTGCAAGGCTTGCACAAATCAGGAGAGAATTCCTTTTTACACTATTCAGGTGTAATAAGAGAATAAAAGGTTTCCTATTTTGAGCATGGTATAGGTTTTCACACATTGAAACAGTTTGTCACATTGATAATTTTACCTGGTGATTTAAGCAGCAGAAAGAATGCGAGCTTCCCATATCAACAACTATGAATAATTCAATATCTTATATTCAAACTGCTGATTAATTAAGATGAGAGTGATCATCACAGTTGTGAACACTTCTTAAGCAGTAGTGAAAGTAAAGTGTTGTAACATGCCTTTGGCATAATAAGGTTATTCCCCAGATGCAATGTCCTTTGTTCGGTCATTATGATTATATGCAGTTCTCGTTTTAAAAATAGATGTGTTCATGGTGTGTGTGCGTGAGTAAAAAAAAAAGCTCTTGTATTGCAGAATAAAAGTTCACTCTCTGTTCAGGAAGGATAATCTTGCCTAGAAATTTCCTAATAGTACAGTGCAGGTAACTCACCAGTCATGAAGAAACATGCTGTTAAGAGCAATCTTGGATTGGTCAAACAATGGAAAACTTCACAACCATTTCCTAGAATGGAAAAAGAAGGTCCCAATATTATGTAGAGGTCTTGTAATGACCAAAGCAGACCCAGAGTTTGTTTGTGCATTTATCAGTGGTCAGGTGAGCAAGTCAAAATATTTTGGACAAGCCAACAATTCCAGCAGATGATTGTAAGAAATGGAACATGCATCTCGCAAAGGTGGAGGAGCAATGCAAACCCAAAGGGAGCAAGCCAGCTGCTGCCTTGCAGTACAAAGTACTCACTCAAGGCAATGTGGAATTACCAGAGTACATAGAAAAGTGCAGACAGACCACTTATGCATGTGGATGACCAGACGGAAGATACAAAGGACATGGCTCTCAGGAATGCTATACTCCTCGGTCTAAGGGATCCAAAAGTGTATCAGAAATGCTTGGAAGTAGACTAGGACTTGCTAACCACCCCAGGAGTGATCAAAATTGCAACTCGCACATACAACAGCGATTGCCAAAAATCAATTATGCAGACCCTCAGTGCAGCAACAACTGCAATACAGCATTAGGATCAGCACAGATTCACAAAATGCAAACAAAGCATGAAAAAGGACAGAAATCAACAGAATGGTCAAATCAAGGGAAGCTGTCTAAAGGTAAAGACCCTGTTGAGACTAAAAGACTAAGCTGTTTTTGTTGTAGAGCCAAGCCTACCCACCCCAGATCCCAATGTCCAGCCAAGGATGTTATTGTCACAAGTGTGAAAAGAAAGGGCATTACAAAAAGTGCTGCAAGAGCAAAAGGAGCAAACATGGTACAACTTGTGAACCAAGGCAGGTTCAAGTACATAGTTTACAAAGACCTCATTTCATAATGCTGCACAGGACTACCATGGAATGTTTGGTTTGACTACCATGGAATGTTTGGTTTACATGAGCCACAAAGAGACCAACCCAAAATGTTGTACCATCTTCAGACCTTTCATGTGAAGAGTATTAATGACACTTCAAGTAAACACATGAAACCTCTTTGGTTAAGTACTGCAAATGGAGTACCCAGTTATCAGATTGAATGCAAGATTGATACAGGTGCAGGATGCAACATGAAGCCTCTGTATCTTCACAAGTCCTTATTTAATCGGAGACAAAGGACTTACCCTTACCCCTGTGCAGATATTTGGATATGGAGAATCCCCTGTATCCAACCTAGGAGCATGCATATTATAATTCATACTAGTGACAGATGACAGCCATGGATGGCGACTTGCCAATTACGTGACTAATACTTATTATAAGGTTATCGTATCCTAGGCAGAGAAACAACCCAAAATGTTGGCTTCATTGCCTTTCCAGAGGTAACTCCACCCCTTTTACTGGTATGCTACAATTCCACTTAAGTGTTAATGCCCAGCTGTGACCAGATTCCAACAAGGTCAAGAAGCCCATATGTGAATAGAACTCCACTCTGTGTTCAAGGATTGTCTTGTTTATAAATTTCCTCATCTTTCAGTGCAACTTAGACACCACACCAGGAAACAGAAAGCCAGAAGGAAAAATATTTAGGTGTAATTTTTTACAGCTGCTTAAGTTGTGTTCACAACTGAGAGGATCACTCTCATCTCCATCTACTTCATATCATTTGATTCCAAAGAGGGAAAGTTTGTTTCTGAGATCTCAGAATGTTCCCAGTATATAAATAATAATAATAATAATAATAATAATAATAATAATAATAATGGTTTATTCACAGTATATCCACATAAAAGGATGTGGCTCTTCATCTGTGAAGGCCTACGATACTAAAATTTAATATTAAAACTAAATTATAATGACTAACTAAATTGTAATAAAAACTATACATGAAAGTAAAATATGCAGAATATATTGGTTGGTGGTGGTGGTTGTTTCTATATCTTTACAAGGAAGACAAAGCACACGCCTTTAAGAGCGCCTTGTAGAGCCTGCAGTATTCTTTATAATCTCTGCAATTCCTTATATTTGCTGGCAATTCGTTAAAAATCATGGCTGCTGAATGCTGAGAGGTGCCTTGTACAAATGGAACATAAAGCCTTGGAGCAACACTGGAACAGAGATGCCTAACAGGTTTTACGACTTGCAAATTTGAATGGGAGGGCCAGTTATCAGAATACAGTGCTTTAAAAGTAGTCTTTAGTAGCGAGTGTAAGGATCTTGAAAGCTCAGGATTGAGCAAGATTGAATATAACAACCTTTAATGTCAGCCAACATGTAGAATGTACAAACTACGTATATCGAGCCCGCCAACTTGTCAGCGGTTGCCAATAATACCATACATTGTTACATGCCCTTTTTTTGTTTTTTGTTTTTTTAAACAAGCTTATTGTCCAATAGCCTGTAAAACAACAGAAACGAATGACCATAAATGTTCTTATTCTAAACCACATAGTCTTTAAGGTAAGAGGATCTCTTGCTTGCCCTTCCTAACCGTGTTAGAAATGGGGTGTCCTGACCTTCTGGAGAAACAACTCCTTTGGTAAGCTGTGTATGTTCCTGTTCACCTTCTGCATCTGGTGAGCCTTGTTCATCCTCTTCATCTTGAGGTGTGCTAAGTGGGGTTAGCTTAAGGTGTCTACGATTTCGGCTCAGTACCCGCCCAGTATCAGTTTCTATGTCATAGGATCTGGGTCTGTTGTTGCTCCAGCCAACTACTGTTGCCTTGCACCACAGCTGCCTTTTGCTGTCAGGTTCTATCATCACTGTCTGTCCGGTGGTTAGTGGTGGAAGGTCTTTGGCCTTAGCATTGTAGTACTTTATTTGCTTATCTTTGATCATACTTCTTTCTTGGGGTACAGAATGGTTTAGTTTTGGCTGCAAGAGCTTCTGAGATGTAGGCAAGAGTGTCTTTGTCCGACGGTTTAGTATCCTCTCAGCAGGGCTTGTAGTCATCCCCTGTGTAGGTGTATTCCTCAAGTTGAGCAGGGAAAGATAAGCATCCTCATGTGGGCACAGTGCACGTTTTACTAGACATTTAGCTGTCTTCACTGCGCTTTCTGACATTCCATTACTTTGCGGATGTTTAGGAGAGGATGTGATGTGTTTGAAGCCCCATCTCTTACTGAAGTTTTTGAACTCCTCTGATGAAAACTGGGGGCCGTTGTCCGACATGACTGTGTCTGGTATGCCATGGCATGCAAAGTGTGCCTTTACCTTATGGATGACATCCCTTGAGGT